AGTAGCTGCATAGTGTAAAGTCAATATGGCACTTGCTACTTAAACGTCAACAGTTATATGTAAGCTGTGTATCTGTAATATGCACACAGAAAAAAGTTAGTTTTTTGCAGAAAAAAAAGCAAAGCCGTTGTTTAATCCGTCTGGTTTAGAGCTGGTGATTGGTTTGCCATCTTGGAGCTCCATGTAAAGACTTGACTGATAAACTGAAGGTGGTGAATAAACACACGCACATCCAGCGTAGATCGTACTCACACAGACACTCATTTTTGTACATTTTACGTGTTTGGATTGACTTTTGTTTAAAACAACTTTTTTTACGTGTTTAATCTAATAATTATCTATCTACCTCTTAAATTAGACACTTAATTATGGAGTTAATTGGTTTATATAATATTATATAGTTTTATATTATACTTTGTGTTCTTTAAACTTTAGTTTTTTCAGTTTACTGAGGTTAGTTTACTGTTAATGCAACCATTTGGGTAATTCCTTTTGTTTTGTTTTTTCTTATTATTACTATACTAGATGTTCTTATCCACTTGCCAAGGAGGATGAGCTTCCCCTATGGTCTGTGGGTTAAATACACAAAACTTTCTTAAGCCATAGATTTTCTTTTCAGTCTGCAAAAGGTTAGTGAATATATCAGAAAATGTCTTAGATGGGCAAAACAAACAAATTGTACTCCCATAAAAGGCCTTTATTTTTTATTCAAATTGTTTAAGTTACTTAATTAATGCCCCACCCTAACTTTAAGCATTACCATGTTACTATTAACCCCAAACTTATCTTACCTCTAACCTAAGACCCTTGCCTTAAAAGTGCCATCTGCTCCATTAGGACTGGTCCCCCTATGGCCCATCTATCTTCAGTAGATTAATTACCAGGAAATGTCCTTAATAGGCAACATAAACACATACACACACATTAGTGGTGAGCTCCTTGAGTCTGTGACCTTTTCCTCTGAAGGTTTGATAGAAGATTGAAACGCCAGCTGTGAACTGCTTGTGGTCAGCAATCTTAGGTCATCCAGTTAAGTAACAAGCCATAGGTTGATGGAAAATCCATAGCATTTCCACTATACATTACCTTTATATGGTTAGGCTTGTGGAGAGAGGGTTCCTCCAACTTGATGGGTGGGGGGGCAGAGGGGTGTGATGGTAAAGTAACTATGGGGGCAGCATTTGGGTCCGGGGAGCATTTTTAGACCACGACCTTCTGTGACGTTGATGCACGGTCTCGCCGTCCACTGGCCGGACCCCTGTGAGTGCCTGCGAGGGCTGTAAATCACTCCCCACTATCGATTTTCCATTAGAAGTCTGCCGCTCGGTGCACCTCTGACACGATGCTCACAAACACCTCGATGAGTGGAATAGGGCAGTAATATGAGGGTCACATGACTCAAGGAGAGCTCGCTGAAGAGAAAATGGATCACGGCTTCATGGCTCTGATCATTGTGACTTTAGGATCTGTTCTTGTTTTGTGGCAGAAGGCTTTACAAATAAAACTAAGAAAAAAAAACAAAACAGCAGAGCTTTATAACAATTAGATTTTATCGTTTTTCTCTGATCCAAGCAGGGGGGTATTACATACTACGGCAATGCTCTCTAATGGCTATCATCATAATTGTACTGTTTTCTCTTGTTTCTTTTTTATTTCTTGTTTCTCTCTTTATTTCAATCTAAAAGGCATGTAATTATTGTTGAGTTTACCAACTGGTGTAGGGTTATATGCTCAGTCAGTCCATTTAGACATCCCAAGACAGGACTTTCCAATAAGCAACAGCAGATAATGACCATAATGGACCCCAAGCTTTGTCACAATACTTTGGTCAAGTTATATGGCTTTTAAATTGCTGTGTAAAGTGAATAAACACAGTTTGTCTGATACTTTTTTATGCCATTTGATCTTTTTACTTTAAGACCATTTAAAATTGCTTTAATCTCATACCTGAAGAATCACAGGAACAAAGTTATGAAGACTAACAAAGACCTTGCAATGCCTTCAGATTTTCTCCTCTTTAGGCTTTCGGTTTATTTCTTGTCGGACACTTGACTAATCTCTGCAGATTTGCAGGAGATTAAATTAACCGTTTGGTTTCCTGTAGAGCTGCACTATGCAACAGGTTGCAGTTGTCATTTAAAAAAAGAAACAGTGGATTATGAAATTAAAAGCCAGAATATCTGCTAATTTTGATTTATTTGCTAATGAATCCTATCTTTCCCTTATGTCTGAACCAGAAGCCGGTATTTGTGAGGCTAAAGGGAGAAAAGTGTCAAGAAAATTGCAAATGCTTAGTCCACTGAGTGTTTAACATGACTGAGAGTCAATCTTTTGGAAGGGTGTTCTTAAAGAATAACTTTGGTTAGAAAATTGTTATGATCACCAGCATAGGTTAAACCTACCCTGACTGAAGAACTGCTGCAAATCCAGTATCCGTTAGTTTGAAACCAGGCAGAAGCATCATGCCAGATACTCTTAATGAAGTGAACAGAACTGAATAGTATAAAGATAATGAAAAATAACTGCAGATCCTTCCACTTCACCCTAAACAAAAGCCAGAGGGGTAAAAGTTTGGCCACAGACGAAACTATCCTAAACACACATCAGAAATGCTTTAAGAATTACCAAATCAGACCAACAAAAGCTTTAGCAATGGTCATTGCCTCATCTTAAATAAATGGTTGTCATTTAAAAGGGAAGCATCAATTTTTTTCAATAAGGAAATCCAAATTTCTAGCTAGACTAATAAGGTGCAACTTTTTAAGCAACATTTATTAGTTAGAATACATGTATTTTTATCTGTATGCTGATAAACCCATATTTATCCTTGATAAAAAAAATCTTTGCGTTTTTTTCCTTGATGAATCTGCCCTAAAAAAAGTAGTTCAGATGAACTGATAAAAGCCCTGAAGTTCATGACACTCGTCGATACGTTACCAGATTTTCCACTGAGACAAAATTTAATATCTTCTCAGTTTGTTTGAGTCTTCCTGGAACAACAGAGTTATTATCCGGCTCTTTGCGTTATTTGATGTCTGATCATCAGTCACACCCTTCGTGCATACAGAGCTGCAGGAACATCCCTGATAGAAAATGATGATGGGAGCTTTGTTGAAGCTCATAGTCACTGAATCTCACCTTATTTCTGCTTTAGCATCGATAATTGCCCTCCCTCTTTAGAATACATTTGACTATAGAGTAAAAGCAGTCAACCTTTTGCTCCTTTGACCCTCTTCTTCCTGTTTTGTCTCCTTTATCTCAGACAGTACAAACGCACAAGCCCCACTTCATTGCCATCCACTGCCAGGAGCTGGGTGGGAAGAGTGCAGACACATCAGCTTCAGATGTCAACAGTTTTGTAAAGTAAGTAAGACTTTTACTCAGTATCATTGATTTGACAGTGGTAGCGACTACAGAGCAGGCTGTTGGAAACTGAACGGACTGCTCCCCCCTCTGGTCACTTTACGTCAGCTCAGGAGTCTGCTTCCTTGTACAAAATTTGATTTTTATCTCAGATAATTCTGCTTTATAGAGTTTAGCAGAGTATCTAAGGTTCACAGGAGGGTTTAGATTCTGATAAATCTGTGTCTCCATCAGCGAGCTGTTCTACAGTGATCCCATGAAGGAGTTCACCAGAGCCCGTGTCTACCTCGATCAGAACTACAGTTCCCCGGAGCTTTACACAGTAAGTCCACACCTGTGATCCTGAACAACAAGCTGCTGAAACACATCACTCATCTGCTTTCATTCCATTACATGCGTATTTTAAGGCAGTTTGAGAAGAAATCTTTAAAAATATATATTTCTGGAAGATGCATGATTTAAAGTCGTTTATAGACCGAGTTTGTTTGGTTAGACAGTTGCTTAATCTGAGGACTTATTCTCGCTACACAGAAGGACTCGTCATTGGCTTGAGTGTTATTTGTGGCATTTGATTATTAATTGCACTTTTTTGGGGGGAGGGAATAAATATGCACTGAACATCTGCACCTTGAATGTATCTTGGATACCCTCTAATTCACTTATAATGTTACACATACAGGTTCATTATCAATATAACTTTAATCACCCTGGTTTTGAGGCTCCTTATCCTCAATCAAAGGAACCAATCAGCTTCTGGATCGTTCTCTTCTTGTCAGAATCGCTGCAGTTTATTGAGATGGATTGGTTAGTTTAATAGTTTCCTCAGCTTTTGAACATATTCTGTCTGTGTTTGGCAACATTATCCAGTTAGAGCACCCAGCTGGGTCCAAGGTTCAACCATCAAATCTTTGCACTTTGATGAAATTGGAAATGAGGCATCAGTTAGAGGCAAACAGGCCCACATCCTAAAACCTCCAAACTCTCCATGCTGATTTCTTCCGATATATCGTCCTGAAAACCCTGGAAACAAGTTATTAAAAGCCCCAAATTATACAGAGAAATTATTCCTGCCAGAAAAGCAGCTGCGGAGTCCTTAATTTGAACTACTTTACCACGCAAAAATGTTTGATTGAAGAGGGTCTCTGGTAGATAAAGGGGTCTCTTTATGTATAGAAGTGGTAGAGCAATGCGACACCTAAAGAAGACAAAAGAAAAAAGAATAGATACATATGCACTTGTGCTTTTTATGAATACAGGATTAAATTTGGCTGTTCTTTCAGTTTACTTTAAACAAGCATCATCTTGTTTAGTTGGACTGGTTTGTCGAGGTCAGAATGCTGATGATTGTTTTGATGTTCAGGATCTGTGCTCATCATTTGGCAAGAAGCTGTTTGTGGTAACGCTATACTAGATAACTGAATAACGGAGAGTGTACCTCGTTATGGTTCAGTGGTTTAGTATAATGTAGGAATATATACTGTATATATATGAGGTGTGTAAGTTAAAGATGTATTTTTGCTCCAAAACACCTGACTGAGATACAGGAAGTTAGGGGTTATGCTGCTTATGGCCCTTCTATGGAAGTTGCTCTTGATCCTTTGGGTTTATGCAGTAGATGGCCAGCAGGGGGCAGCAGATGTTTAGAAATAACTTAAATTGATATTTGGACAAAATATTTTTGAAATAACTAACCATGATGTGAATGTCTACATATTTAATATGTATAGATGTACTATCAGCATTTTAAATGAGTGAACTCATAATGTGTTTGTTATAGACTAAGAAAGAGTGGCTCATTGTTATGATGTGGAAGAAAATGTCCGTATAATGTCAATACGAACATGGTCGTTACCTGAAGGCTTTAGAGGTTTGTTAGAGGACATTATTAATAATAAAAAAAAAAAAAAACAGCATGGTGAAGAAGACAAAGCAAAACATGATTGACAGACGATAAAAGACGACAGGGTGACTGTGGAGGAGCTGCAGAGGTCCACAGCTCAGGGGAAGAATATGATGTCAGGACAGCTGTTAGACTTAGACTACCTTTTTTGTAATTGCACAAAAAACACAAGGTTAATCTTGACAACGAAATGTTGATTACTTGGCTACCATTGTAACAAAGCTAAGACCTTATTCCTGCACAATAAATATGTTTTCTATGAGTAAGAGCTAGCTATATACAGGGCAAGAGTATATATATTTACATATATATTGCACTGAGTTATTTCTATTTCTGTTAGTTCTATACTCTACATATCTGGCCTTTATGAAAGACGACTGGGGTTTAAAGTCAGCACCAAATCCCAAAAAATGTAGAGGAAACGGTAAACCCGTGGAAGACATTGCTCTGTTCAAATCAGGTCCTAGTTCAACATTTTGGATATAAACGCTGCATATGAAGGAAAACAATATTCACATCAACCTGAACACACCATACTCATGGTAAAGCATGGTGGAAACACCATCATGCTGTGGGGAGGCTTTTCCTCAGTATGGGCAGAGATGATAGTCAGAGCAAATTCTTATGCTATTTATTTTGATAATACCGGTAGGTATAATATCCATCTGTGTTTGCCATTGCAACTTTTGCACATTTTAATGATGCTTAACATTTCTATTCTGTTGAGTCTCTCTAAGCTTCTAGGTTCTGGGACCTGAATTGACCATCTGGTGGATTCCAATAGGGAAACTTGCAGTCTTTGGAGGTTGTTTTGGCCTCTGACCACTAAGTCCCCTTAATACTGCATTTAAAAACGTGTACAGGCTGCAGAAAGTCTTGAGAATGAAGAAGAGATTCAGTTTCCAAAGCAACACAGTATAACCAGAGCCATAACAGGAACTTTTAATTAGAAAAATATTAATTTCTTAGAATGTCCTAGTCAAAGTCCAGGTCCGCATCCCAGTAGGAAAGTATGGCAATAGTTAAAAACTGATGTTACAATAAGGAGAAGACGAAGGGGAAAGGGAGCAAAGCTCAAACGGACCTTCAGCTGAAAGTCCCACAAAACAGTTATTCTCTCAGGGAGGCCAGATATGCATCGTTTTGTATTTTTTCTCTGCTTCTCACCTACCTTGTATTGCTTTATCTCTTAGAATCTCAATAAGCTGCTTTCGCCATGGAACATGACAGACAGATCATTTCTAAAACATCTAAAGAATAGTTCTAGAACTGTTCACTCACTGGAGCAAAATGCTCAAACTTGCAGACCTTGTCTATAAATCTGCCCAGAGTTAACAGGCGACATTCAGTCTGATGAGCTTAAACGTTTTTAATAATTAAAGTCATCATCTGCACATTCCTAAGGAGCTACAATGCACCGCATCCATGTGTTTTGTTTATGGACTACAGCCTCCATTTAAGTCTGCTCCGCCTTCCTGCGAGCGCTCTGAGTTGTGTCCCCACGCTACGCTGCGTCTCCAAAAACGCTCATTAATCAAAGCGCCGGCAGAGTCACATTTGCTCTTTTAAAAAAAAAAGAATGATTCCAAACGTTGGCCTTTTCAGAAACATAATTATCTGCCGTTTCATATAAGCTCTGCACCCGCCTGATCCTCCGGAGCTGTTTGTTCAGCGCTGTTTGTCTGTAGATTAACCTTTTTAGTCCTATTTTGATTCGCATCAAATAGAGATAGCAGTTTGTGCGAATCAGTCGGCGGAAAGAGAAACATCTGATGTGCTTCCTGTGGTGTTGATATTGAAATCCCAGCAACAGTAAATATGAAGAGACTCTCCAGTCGTTCTCACACTGGGCTTGCCATTTAGCTTTGATGACATCACCCGTGTTTGTTTTCCTGATCTTCGATCTTTCCCCTCAACCACGCTCCTGGGATAATTGTTTGTTGTCCGCCCCGCCTGTCGGTCTTCAGATAAAATAAGTGGGAACACTTTTTTGTGCCATTGTTTATAAAGTGCCTTTTAAAGGAACGGTTTGGCGGTTTGTCGTGAGTGTATAATAAAAAAGGCCCGTCGGAGTGTTTACGTGCCTGTCCCAGTGTGAGTGTGTTTGATGGATGAGATAAAAGCGTGTGTGTGACGCTCCGTAATGAGACTATTGATTTATCTTCTCACAAATCTGAAAAACGGTTTGACAATCTCATGTTTCTGCCAACGTTTCACATGAGGGAGAAGGTTTTCACTTTAAATACACAGATTTGTGTCTTCTTATAATAATTTAACATTTGTTGATGTTTGAAAATCTACAAGCAGATCTCTTACTGGTATATTCATATAAATCATCAGTACTTTTCTGTTAATGAAAACCCAACTTAGATAAAGACTTTAGATAAATATAAATATGTTAGTTTAATTATATATTTTTTTGGCTCTCCTGCACATGGTCTTCGAAAGCCTCAGTAAATACAAAAGGTCGCTGCTAAAGAATCTAAGCATGTTAATAAAAAGTTGAGTGGAAGGAAAAAGTGCCGTAGCATTGATGCAGCTCTGCTAAAGTGGAAGCATGTAGTCTGTCTGCATGTTAAGATCTTCATCTTGATTGCACTGTATAAATTCTTTGTGGGTTTCCAGCAGAGTGACTAGTTTATACCTCCCCTGCTCTCCTCTGGAGCGATGCTAAAGTTCCAAAGAACATACGCTGACCGCTTATTAAAGGCCTGTGAGCGGCGACGAATCAGACCCCAACGACTCCTCCTGTGTATTTTAAATTGGTTAAAACTTCATCACATTTTTTTTTTTTTTTTTGGTGCAGCTGGACATTTTCAGAAGTTATATTCTTACAGTGGGTGAGTACACTGGGTGAGGAGATGCTATTTGCTGATAACTGTGCATTTAATGTTCCTTCGTAAGGTTATAATTACCTATGGTAATATATGCAACCCACTAGCAGATCAATGTGCACAGCTGATCATATGCACACAAATATATAAATATGCCCATAAATGCCTTAATGCAGCATGTTTTTAAGCAAGTCTTTGGGAAACTACTTAGATGATTGTTCATTTTCCTGATGATGTGATGAGATTTGGTAATATTTACTGTGTTCTCGCTGCAGCATCCGGTAAAAATAGAATAGAATTAAATTTTGATGGTGTAAGGTCTCCCCGCTGCCACCCTAATGCCGGAAAATGCTCCCATTGATTCAAATTGCTGCGTATTTGAAGCATTTTGCAGCTGGGTGGAGCACATGCTGTGTAAAATAGAGCAGTGAGATGTTCTACAAGTTTCTGTTTGAAATGCAAAACTGACTGAACCACTACACAATGCTCCTCTTCCTCCTTCGCCCGTGCATAATGTCTGAAACGATCTCTTGTTCAGGAGTGGCGTTCCACATCTGAAGCGATGCATCAGCGATGCCTCTGTGGATT